TGGGGCTGGCTTTCCCGCGTTGGGGCGCAGGTCCTGCAAGCTGAGGTAACGTCCCGACGGCGCACAAGGCCAACTTGAACCCAGAAAATAAGTTCTCCCTCCACATAATCTGCGCTCCAAGGATAACCTTGGAGACTTCTAAAATTTCCTTTGAAAAAGTGGGTTCTGGAGGTTCCCAGGGACCCCACTCTTTATGTAGCAGTGCGGTCCTGAGCGAGTGGCGCGAAAGTGGTTCGTGTGGTCTGGGGGTGAGCAGGCTCATTTGCATGAATTCCGGGCTAGGGTGGGAAAGCCGAGGCGGTGCCCGGCTCCAAGTACTTCTCATTGCTCCTTGGGGCTCACATTATTTAAAACAACATAAGTAGCAAAGAATACTGCTCGACCACCAACCTTTGCCGCCGATTTCCTGTCCCAGGGTGTAGCTCCTCTTATCTGGTAACCACACCATTATCTAAAGCAATAAAATGAGTTAAGTCCTGATCTTTCCAGAAAGCAAGGAAAATCGGCTAGTTCTGCATAAAATTCGTGGCATTTAAACTGGAAAACCGCCTGTGCTCGTTACTGAAGGCTTATCTATGGGGTTAACAAAAGAAAAGCCTCTAGACCATTATTTGTTGGAGATGGGAGCTGCAGACTGTTTTGTTTTAGTGTGGCTTGGAATTTTGTTTTAGTGTGGCTTCCCATCACAATAAGGAATTACCTTGAGTTAGAATGAAGGAGACAAAGTGTCCTTTAAATCAAACCTAGCATAACAACGAAATAAAGTGTGAAGCTCTTTTCTTTCTTTTGGTAAAGGGCAGTAAACTTGCTTTTAGGAGAAAAATAAGAAATTGAGTGCTTTAAAAGATCCTGATTTTCATCATACATTTAAAAACAAGTGATCGAAGTGAAAGCACACACATTTCTCCCTTATGTAAAAACTTTTATTTGGAGATAACTCCTTGGCAGTTAAGAGAGCATACATGAACTCAGTGCTTTTCTCTCCAGAGGCACCATTGAATACAAACCCATCTAAGTGGGTAGTGCTCGAGAACAATGGGTTGGAAGGAGTCTTCCAGCTTTTCTTCTACATGCCTGCCACTGTGCAAGGGACAAAGAAATGAAGGACTTGGAAGTAGGCGCCGACAGAGACTATCGGTCCTGTCTGGTGAAATTGCTGGCAGTACCTGAGCCCTGAATAGAAACTTGTGGAATAAACAACCAAAAGGATGATGGACTAAAATTATTCTTAGTGTAGTGTGCTTAGGAATGGGGTTTTTAGTTTCCCAACCCTAAATACATATTCTGTTTGAGCATTTGTAATTTCTACTCACATAAAGTTAGGAAGATACGATAAGATATATGCCGGTGAAAGGTTATGATTAAAGAAGTTTTAGTCGTTCTGGGGCACTAGAAAATCATTTGGTGTACATGATTTTAAGGATAAGATCTCTGGTCCTTTTATGAAAACACCAATAATCTTTTTAGTAACCAGGAAAATGCAAATTAAAACAGGAGATACAACTTGGCTATAACTAGAAGGACTTCACAAACCTGGTAAGACCAAGTTAAAGATGTGAGCAACTCCCGTAGTACTAGTAGTGTAAAGTTTTTACATTAAAGATCAATTCAGGAATATTTAGTAGACCCACCAAAAGCACTTCAAGATAAATACACTAGAACAAATTTTCACATTGTGGGTTCAAATCTATTGGTAGATTCTGAAATCAATTCAGTGGGTTGCAACTAGTGTATTTTCTTCTGTGTGTGCGTTTACCTTAGTAAATTATTTTATTGTGGTTGGTTTATCATTTGACATACATCTTTATAACAAAGTTGTACATATACTATACAGTGCTGTTGACTACAAGTACAGTGTTGAATAGGAGATCACTAGAATTTATTAATCTTGCTTAACTGAAAGATACAGTCATTGATTAGCAATTCTCCGCTTCCCTCCCTGGCAACAGCTCTTCCACTCCAATTCTATGGGAAAAAAAATTTTTTTTAACAACACTGGGGATTTAATCAAGGGCCTTCACACTGAGCTACACCCTCACCTTTTAAAATTTTGATACAGGGTTTCTCTAAATTACCCAGTCTGTGTTGAATTTGTGATCCTCCTGCCTCAGCCTCCCAGAGTGCTGAGAGTACAGGTGTGAACCTCCATACCCAGCTGGATTCTATTAATTTGACTATTTCAGATACCTTATTTAAGTAAACGCATGTATTATTCTCTTTCTTTGGTTGTTTCTCTTCTCAGTGAAATTGAGTATGAGAGTGGTATGTGTATATTTTTTCCTGCAACTTTTTTTTTCTTGGTATCCAGGATTGAACTCAGGCTCTTGCACTTGGGAGGCAGGTGGCAGAACCACTGAGCCAAATCCTGGCCCTCCTGAAACTTTTTATCACATGTTTAGGTGTTTGTATGTGTGCTGTATAAATTTCTCTCCATACTTTGCTCCATCATCAGTGTTTTCAAGGTACTATGCAGAAGAATATGCACAGTGGGTCATTTACTGATGGTCTTGCATTTTTTTCATTCTGCCAAGGGCTGGTAAACCAGGCACTATTCTGAGTAGTGTGACACACAGTGCTGTTTTCAATCTGTTGGGGGAAGTAGAAGTAAACAAATATTTCAGGTTTGAGAACTGAAAAGAAAAAGAAAAGCAAGGTGAAAATTAGAAGCAAGATGAGCTAGGAAATAAAGGAGAGACACATTTAGAGAAGCTGGACAGTCAACTGGTCAATGTAAATAAGAGAAACAGGAGGTGATACCTGAGCAGCAATCTGACAAAGGCAGAGGAAGCTACAGGAAGGAGAGGGAAGGCTGGCTGAAGGCAGTGTGGTAGTTTCTTTCAAGTCCCCGTCCACACCAGAGAGCTAGGAAGGTTCAGAGAGAGGTTCCATCATTTCAGCCTTCCTGGCCACAGAAAGCAATTTGGATCCATTCCAGAAATGATGGGCAGACACCGAAGGGTTTTGGTGGAAGGAAAAACCCCATCTAACCTCAAGGGATGTGCACACCATGGACTGCAGGAGAACCCTAAGTGAAACCAGGAGACTCTCCTGCTCCTAGCGGAGAAAATGACAGCTTGCACTAAGATCACTGTGATGTGGAAAGAAATGGTCATACTCAAGATCTGTTATTTCAGAGTTGGAGCTAATTGGATATTGCTATATTCGCAGTTCTTTGCTGTTAGCATTGTATATCATGGTTAAAGACGGCGAACCACCTACATACCCTTTAGAAGGGAAATGGACGCATGAGCAGAACATGCAGTGGAACTTGAACAGTACATCAAAGGAATGGTATAGCCTACTAACATCCATGTAGCCAGTTCTTAACAATAATGAATGAAAAAGCAACACATCTGTAAAGTATATGTCTTTTGCAAATTTTATAAACACAAAACATATGTAAGTCATAAAAATATAAAAACCAGGATAGGATAGAGGTTAATGCTAAGGACTGAGGAAGAAGGAAAGGCTGGAACCTTTGACTATCACGAATGCTTCCTTTAAAAATAAAAACAGAACTTTGCTGTTTTCTGGGTATTATTCTTTTCTTTGTTTTTTTGTTTTTGTTGTTTTAATGGAGTGTGCTGAATGTCTATAATTTTGTTCCAATGACTGCAGAACCTGGAAAAGCTGTTGCTGCTATTGATGCATAACATACTGCTATTATTGGTCTTTTTATATAATTATAAATATGTATATACATATATATAATTTGAATTTCTGGAAACTTTAACTGTGCTGTCAACTTTGGAAAAAGTTATCCCAATATACTGTGTTGAGTTGGCATTGTACAGAAATTAACAGCCATATTGGTCTAGAAATGTTAATTTTTTTCCATTTGTACAGGAGTAATGCACTGTATTAAATATGTAAGGTCATATGTACGTGGGTTTGATTACAGAAACTAATAAAGTATTCTCTAAATAATGAAAAAAGAATAATATAAGACTACAAGAGCAAGAAGCAATTTAAATATGTTCAGGGACCATTTTCATCTTCAGAATTAAGGATTATTTTAATTTTACATCATTGCCTTTTCTCTTTTACTTTCCTTTTTAGTTTTATTTTAGAATTCTCTATTTTTAATGTTCATACAGAGATTTCTTTAACTGAAATACCGAATAGTTTCTCTGGTGTGAAAAACTATAATAGTACACAGGATCCTAATGGGATAATTAATAATGTGAAATAGGAAGTAAAGGGCTAAAGGTGTAGGGAAAGTGGGAAGGGTGGGGGAAAGATAATAAGGGAGAGGAAAAAATATGAGAAAATGGAA